TTGATTCCTATTCTACTCTTCCTTCCACCCCCACTCCCTAGATATATACAAACATATACATATATATACAAATATTTGTGTATATATATATATATACACACACACACACACACACACACATACATACAAGCATGCATACCTAAATATATATGTGTACAAACACATACATATGCATATCTCTCTGTGTATGTATATATTTTCTCCCAGGTCCCATAATAAAGTCAGTAGTGCCATAAAGTGAGTCAAATGAATCTTTTGGTTTCCTACTGCATGTGAAAGGTTTGTTTACACAGTGCTATGGTTTATTAAGTATAAAATAGCATTAAGTCTAAAAAAAATGATGTACTACCTACCTTAATCTTTAATGGTAACCATCACCTGAGCTTTCAGTGGGTTGTAATCTTTTTGCTGGTGGAGGGTCTTGCCTTGATGTTGATGGCTACCTAGTGATTGGGATGGTGGTTGCTGAAGGCTACAGTGGTTGTGGAAATTTCTTCAAATATGACCAAGTTTGCTGCAACAGTTGATTTTTCCTTTCACGCATAATTTTTCTGTAGCTATTTGTGATGCTATTTGATAGCATTTTACCCACAGAGGAACTTCTTTCAAAATTGGAGTCAGTCCCTTCAAACCCTCAGGCTGCTTTGTCAGCTAAGTTCATGTAATATTCTAAACTCTGTATTGTCATTTCAACAGTCTTCATAGCATCTTCACTAGGAGTAGATTCCATCTCAAGAAACCACTTTGTTTGCTCATCCATAAGAAGCAACTTCTCTTCCACTCAAATTTTATCATAATATTGTGGCAGTTAGTCACATTTTCAAGCTCCATTTCCAATTCTATTTCTCTTGCTGTTTCCACCACATTTACAATTACTTTCTCCACTAAGTCTTGAGCCCCTCCAAGTCATCCATGAAGATTGGAATCAAATTCTTCCACACTCTTATTAGTTTTGTTATTTTGACATTTTCCCATGAAGCACAAATTTTCTTTTTTTTTTTTAATTTTTTTTTCAACGTTTATTTATTTTTGGGACAGAGAGAGACAGAGCATGAACGGGGGAGGGGCAGAGAGAGAGGGAGACACAGAATCGGAAACAGGCTCCAGGTTCTGAGCCATCAGCCCAGAGCCTGACGCGGGGCTCGAACTCACGGACCGCGAGATCGTGACCTGGCTGAAGTTGGACGCTTAACCGACTGCGCCACCCAGGCGCCCCAGAAGCACAAATTTTCTTAATGGCAATCTAGAATGATGAATACTTTCCAAAAGATTTTCAATTGACTTTTCCCAGATCCTTCAGAGGAGGCACTATCTATGGTAGTTATAGCCTTACAAAATGTATTTCTTAAATAAGAGTTGAAAGTTAAAATTACTCATTGATCCATGGACTGCAGAATGGATATTAGATTAGCAGGCTTGAAAACATTAATCTGATTGTGTATCTCCATCAGAGCTCTTGGGTGACCAGGTGCATTGTCAAAGAGTAGTGATCTTTTGAGAGAAATCTTTTTTCTCTCAACAGAAGGTTTAAAATATTCAGTAAACCAAGTTGTTAACAGATGTGCTGTCATCCGGACTGTTTATTTATAGAGCACAGGCAGATTAGATTGAATAATTCTTAAGTGTTCTAGGATTCTTAGAATGGCAATGAGCACTGGCTTCAACTTCAAGGTACCAGCTGCATCAGCTCCTAAAAAGAGAGTCAGCCTGTCTTTTGAAGCTTTGAAGCCAGGCATTGACTTCTCCTCACTAGCTATTAAAGTCGTAGGTGGCATCTTCCAATATAAAGCCATTTTGTCTACATTGAAAATCTGTTGTTTAATGTAGATACCTTCATTAATGATTTTAGCTAGATATTCTGGATAACTTGATGTAGCTTCTACATCACCACTTGCTGTTTCACCTTGCGCCTTTATGTTGTGGAGATGGCTTCTTTCCTTAAACCTCATGAAACAACCTCTGCTAGCTTCAAAGTTTTCTTCTGTAGCTTCATCACCTCTCTCAGCCTTCACAGAACTGAAGAGAGTTAGGGCCTTTCTCTATATTAGCCTTTGGTTTAAGGGAATGCTGTGGCTGGTTTGATCTTCTATCCAGATCTCTAAAACTTTGTATCAGTGATAAGACTTTATCACTTTCTTATCATATGTGTGTTCACTGAAGTAAAGCTTTTAATTTCCGTTGAGAACTTTTGATTTGCATCCACAAGTTGAATGTTTGACACAAGAGACCTAGCTTTTAGGCTGTCTCATCTTTCAGCATGCCTTCTTCATTAAGCTTAATCACTTCTAGCTGTTGATTTAAGGGAAGAGACATGTGTGAATCTTCCTTTCACATGAACACTCACAGGCCATTATAGGATTATTAACTGACCTAATTTCAATACTTCTATGTCTTAGGGAATAGAGAAGCCCAAGAGGAAGGAGAAATATAGGGGGGTGGCTGGTCTGTGGAACAGTCAGAACGCATACAACATTTGTTCATTAATTTCACCATCTTACATGCATTTGGTTCATGGTACCCCAAAATAATTACAGTAGTAACATCAGAGATCACTGATCATAGATGGCCAGTTTGTATTAACAAACATAATAATAATGAAAACATTTGAAATATTGCAAGAATTACCAAAACGTGACACAAAGACAGGAAGGGAGCAGATGTTGTTGGAAAACTGGTGCCAATAGGCTTCCTCAATGCTGGGTGGCCACAAAACCTTCAATTTGTAAAAAATCTGGGGTCAGGGAAGCACAATAGAGCTCAATTAAATGAAGTACAATAAAATGAAGTGTAACTGGATATATATGTGTATATCTGTATATGTTTATGTATATGTACATATTTACATGCATATATATTTAAATTTTAGTCTCAACTCCAAAAATGAATTTGCCATTCCATGAATGCATGTCACTCACAGTTTGAAAACTCTGAAATAGGCCTAAGTGATATCAGGAATTCTGATGAAAGTGAACACTAAGAATGGGAGGATTCCAGAAGTTTTCATGGCCCCAGGTTAGAAGGTCTTAAAGGGGGAAGAGAAATAGACAACATGGTATTATATATTTTTTAATAGCTCTAATTATTTATCTTTATTATCTTTGAGGCTTCAGGAATGTTAATGAGTTATTCTCCCACCTGCATTTTTAAGTGGCAAAAGAGACAATTGTTACAAAGTAGTTCATAATGTAGGCAGGGGAGTCAGCCTGTCTGGCTCCGTGGTCTACAAGTAGCATGATTTGGAGAAAGTTAGTTCAACTCCTTGTACCTCAGCATCTTTGTAAAATGAGAATCACAAAGCCTTAGGTGTGGTGAATATAATAAATATAAAGTTCTTAGCCTAATAAATTATAAACGGTCAGCCTACAATAAATATTGGCTATTTGCAAGTAAATTAATAGTTGATCAAAATCTGTAATAAAATTGAGAACAGAATCCAACAGACAACTGACATATTTGCTTAGAGAGTCATTCAATAAATGTTTCTGATGCCTTTTGGTTCATTGTCAATGAGTTTGGTTAAGGGATAAAAACAGTCTCTTACTAATATTATCAATTATAAATAAATAATTTCAGCTCTGTATATAATGGGGATATGTTCTTTTTAGAAAAGCTATCTGACACATTTTTTCCATATGTTTAGTCTGTGAATATTAATGCATCCCAGCTGAGTCATACAAATCAATTTGCCCATGTGAAAGATTAAAGAATTTTAAAGTTGTGTAGTACTAGAGGTCCAAATATTTAGTTAAAAATCAGGAAAATAAGGTAGAGAGAGAGGGAGGAGGAAGAGAGAGAGAGAAAGGGAGAGAGAGAGAAAAGGAGGGAGAGAGAGACTGAGATTTCCAAGATCTTCAGTAGAAAAACTAGGACTTGAACCTGGGACACTTTCCACTGGCTCTCCCATTTTTCCAGAACCATCATCAATGTTTGCAAGTTGACTGTGAAGTCAGTGGTGGTTTGAAAGAGCTGATGGCAGTCAGAGAGAGCAAAATATACTGTTAAATGAGCAAAAATTAGGCACTCCTTACTCACTGAGCATAGCAACAGCAATGACAGAAATGCAATCTAACTTTAAAAATGGCTACTAAAAATGCATGTCCATGTCTTATGTGAAAACAGGATCAAGGCTGCTATTTCACTGTGAATTTAACCTGAGTCTCAAGGCAATATGAATATTCAAATCTAACATCACTTTAAGACTCCCAGTGGAAGAGAATGAACATTTCTTTTTTAAAATTTACCTCTCTTAGGCAGGGTTTTGATGGACCAAGCCTGAGAGATTCATTAGCAAAGGTGTGCTATATTTTATTTGTAATTTTCTTTCAATGACAAATTTCCATCATAGAGTAACTAGTATTATGGCAATTAAGACATTAAATTAAATTAGTATATCACATATCATGCTGGGAAAATAATAATGCAGTGCAGTTATGTGCCACAATAGATAATTGCTAAGACAATAGGAATGTGTCCACAGTAAAGGTGATAGTCATTTCTTTGTGCCTATCATCACAGCCAGTTTCAACAGGGAATGAGTCCATCACATTAACTAAATCCCAGTGAAATTCTAGAATTACAGACACCAGGCTTTCTTCTCTCGCGGTCTGGGTTTTCTCAGATTTATCAGCTTCCCTTTATTTAATCAGGTTAAGTTTCCATAGCTTTATGCACTGTTCAGTATCCTTTACGTAAGTCAATTGGATACAAATACTTAGGTATTCAGAATGTTTACTACCTATATAATATTTTCTCCAAAAGCATTTTTTTTTGTTGTTGTTGTTCTTTCCTGCAGCAAAACACCACTAACTACAACTGTTTAACTGTGTTTGGAAGAGGGAAGATGCATTCTACAGTGGTTTCTGTATAACGAACTAAGAGTTTCAGGGAATTATTTGAATTACAAATATTCTCCATTCCTGTTCAGTGCATCTTACTGGGCAAAGACCTTAGCATGCTGGTTCATATTCTCATCCGCTTACTTTTGTTTTCTGTCTTTGCAGTTCCGCCATGGTTTTTAAATCACCCTTCCAACCTGTATGCCTATGAAAGCATGGATATTGAGTTTGAATGTTCTGTCTCTGGAAAGCCTGTGCCCACTGTGAATTGGATGAAGAATGGAGATGTGGTCATTCCTAGTGATTATTTTCAAATAGTGGTAACTATCTTCTTTTCATATTAGCTTTACAATCCCATTCATTGTTTCCTATCTTTTCAGTCATTTTTCTTTCCTGGGAAGAGTGTTCCTGTTCGGAATTTTTATGATGTGTTAAAATTTTTCTAGTAAAGTAAATGACTTTCTAGAGTTAAAATTTTTGAGTTGAAAAAGAATGATCAAACAGCCCAGCCCCCTTGTTTTACAGACAAGGTTTTAAATAAACAAACAATGGAAAATACAGAGGACCCAAGACTATGTTTCCAACTATTCTCATTGCTGGTTCTTAGGAGAACAGAGTTTAGAACCTACTCCTAAACTATATGAAGCCAAGAATATCTTACTTCTTTGACTTTTACCCTTTATAATAAAGTTTCAACAAGATTATTTGCTTCAACTTATGATTATTGTAGTCTTACTTCCATAATACAGGCATTTTTTTTTTTTTTTTGCTACCATTCCAAATAGGACAGCTGATCCTACTAGAGCAGTAGAAAAGGATGTAGTGACAGTAACAATGACAGTGGTAGTTGCCTTGGTAGCAAAGCCATGGAGATCCAGAATTCACATGGTGTTGCACTTCTGAACATTGGAAAGAATTGAAGCTGAGAATAACAGTTCTTATAGTTTCTCTAAGTTCTAGTGCATTCTATCCCCTCTGGGTGATAATAGGGATGATGTATTATATATACTACGTTGTTTTCCTGGTACACAGTGAGCACTCAATACCTATCATTATTAGCTTTGCTTTTGCTGTTACCAGCAGAATTCTTTGTTCATGTAAAAAATTCTCTATGAAAGCTCTCCTTTAGGTGTAGGTTGGCCTGGGAGGTTCTGAATTCAAGGATATGAATATATGAGAAATATGAAATGCACTTTCCAAATATCAGAGAACTTTGTAGCTAAAGAAGAAGTATTTAGGCCTATTTCTCTTAGGTTGAGATGCAGATATGACCTGTCGAAGAAGAGTGTGTAAGCCAGGTCTTCTGGCAGAAGGGTAATAGACCACAGGTGCCCTGCCAATCCAGGCATGTGCTCTACTTGACCTTGCACTGGTGCTCATTTGTGGATCCACCTCTTTGTTGCTGGATCAGTTGACTTTCAAAAAAAATTTTTTTTCAATGTTTATTTATTTTTGGGACAGAGAGAGACAGAGCATGAACAGGGGAGGGGCAGAGAGAGAGGGAGACACAGAATCGGAAACAGGCTCCAGGCTCTGAGCCATCAGCCCAGAGCCCGACACGGGGCTCGAACTCACGGACCGCGAGATCGTGACCTGGCTGAAGTCGGACGCTTAACCGACTGCGCCACCCAGGCGCCCCTAGATCAGTTGACTTTCAGAAACTTCCATAACTCTTTATGCATGCATTTTGTCACACCACGAGGGTTCTTAGGGAATATATCCATAAAGCATATCTTTATTACTTTTGTCACCAGTTAGTATTTTCCCCTTTTAGTTGCATTTGTTTAATTGGTTGGGAATGGAGTAAGAAAGAGAAAAAATGTAACTTTTCAATCCATTATTTCCTTTAAGTGTAATGCCATTTCTACTACCACTGAATTAAAAATGACCTGCCATGGGGCAACTTGAAATGTGTTGTGTCTGCCTAGAATATATGCTACTTGCATATAAAGGAAATTGTTGAGTGCCCTTAAGGACACATGATAAAATGCAACATTTATTTTTTTCTACAGTTTGAATAATCTTTCTCCCAGAATGACTCATTACAGCCAACCTATTTAAATGTTTCTTTTCTTAAGGTAAAAAGAAAATGTACAGTGTGAGCTCTGTTCACATTAAATTGTGCTTAAAAATGTTTCCCCAATAGCTGCAGAAATCTGAGAGCCATTGTCTGTCACCAAGTAACATTTAGCACAAATAGTAACTTATATGAGAATTGTTAATTAGAAGTTAGTCAGCTTTATCTAAGAATTTTACATCAGCAGAGAATTGACTACAAGACACTAAAAACAATTAAGAATTCCCCATGAGGTAATATTTATCTCTTAATGACTTCAGGGGAAGTGATTTAACACGTCTCACTTACTGAACTAATTCTTACACTAATATTGAAGAAAAACTGAGTTAGTATAATTAAATGCTATTTCCAGATCATTTTATCATCCATCCTTGAAAAAGATGGTGGCTCAATTTATATAAAATAGGAGTTAACATTGCTGTGTTTAATTTATGGATTTCTGAAGGTGAAGCATTTCAGCCATATAACAAGAAGGACATGGTATAAAATATCTAGCATACCACCACTCCAAATCCCCCAAAAGGGCACATGTCAAAGCAATTACAATTTTAAAAGGATTTTTGGACTTTTATTTTCTCGGTAAACACTTCCAGAAAATATCCCACCTAGATTTCTTGTCTTTTAGAAGCTGCAAAAATCAGTGTTTTGATTTCTTTTCTTTTTCCCCAGCAGCTGCTGAACCCAAATTTCCTTCAATAACAAGGGGAAAAATGAAATTTCTTTTGAGCTAACCTTTTTTCTTGCCTATTTAATAAAAGAGCTCTCTGTTTGCTGCTAATTTAGATATTGAGGATGATGTGTATTTTTGTGAGAATAGTTTTTATTGCAGAACTAGCTTAAATGGATACACATAGATTCGACAGAGTATTGGGAATCTGTGACATTGTCCAAGTGGCATAAGACATATCTATGAGGCTGAGAACTCTCATGGCCTCCCTTGTTGCTTCTCCTATGGAGTTTTATTAAAATTTTTATATTCACTTTGTCTCTTTGAGTTTTTGTTTGTTTGTTTTTGCTTTGTAAAATATTTCACCTGCTTCTTTCGTCTCCCTAGGGAGGAAGCAACTTACGAATCCTTGGAGTGGTAAAGTCAGATGAAGGCTTTTATCAATGTGTAGCTGAAAATGAGGCTGGAAATGCCCAGACCAGTGCACAGCTCATTGTCCCTAAGCCTGGTAAGATGAGGGGAACTTTGCTCTGGGACTGGTAGCTGCCATTATGCATGGTCCGCTTGTAACATCCACATTGTTTTCCCTATCTCTCAGTCATTTGGAAATTATTTAATTATTTAGTTTATCAAGGTGTGTATTTATGTTTTGATGGCATATTCTTTCTAGAAAACTAGGTATGTATCGCCATCCAATGAGATAGTCATGAACAGTATGTGCCTCTGGTTGTCAAGATAATAACCACTAAATTACTACCTTTTTCCCTCTTGTGGCCTGCTTTTCTTCTAATATTTCAGGTAAATATAG